TTTCTTCCCTTCTTTCTCTGCCTCAGCCACACAGCCAGGCAGCCATGTGTTCATTTTCATGCCTGGATAACAGGTCATCAGGTGCTTTTTACTTCCACAGAAGAATACTGTTCCAGCCCAGGCCTTTATTACCTTGGGGCCATATGTCACCGAAACTTCATTACCTTGGAGGCCAGATGTCCCAGAAATCTCATTGTGAGTCCCACAGCCTTTGAGCTGACAAGGCAGAGGAGGACCGCCTGGCTCACATCAAGGGATCTGAGATTCTTCCAATCCTTATCATGCTTTCCACCCTCACTCAGAATTATAAGGATTTTGTCCCAACCAGACCCAACCAATCCTGGCGGAAAAGAGACCTCTGCTCTCCACAGGAATTTCACACATCCATGACCACAGGGAAACCAGAGCGAAAAGTGCTGAGGGGAAAATCCATGGCCACTTTTGGCCTTCTCTGACCCAGTTCCCTCCACCATATGCATTCAGTCCCACTGTGTCATTTGCAGCTGGTTTAGAGCAATGTAGGAAAATGGTCTCTTCTGGATTTCTCCCTCCTCTTTCAAAGGACAGAACTATAGACTTTATGAGGGAAAGTTTCATAAACATGCCTGCCACACGGATATCACACCCTGGCACCGCACGGTTTAGTTTGGCAGTCGATAGAGTGGCCCTGGGCACACCTGCAACAGTCAACCCTGTCCTAGGTTCTGGAAGCAGTGACTGGGTGGAGAGAGAAGGGAGCAGGAAAAGCTGGGGGGGGGGGGCAGGGAGGGTAGAGTCATTGCTTTAATGACATACACCTGTGGGACCCTTGATGAAAACTCTGGGTGGCTTTTCAATGGAACAGTGAAACCTTCTGAGTAGGTTTCAGTTTCCTTCTCAAACAGGAAGGGGAAAGAGGGGAGAGAAGGGGAAGAGAGGAGACCGGCATTGAGAAAAGAGAGACAGAAAAGCAGAGAAGCTTCAAAAGAAGTGACAGAGACACTTCAGCTCAATACAAGAAGCATTTATTAAGTCCTACTACGTGCCAAACACTGGGTTGGGCACTGGTGACAGAAACACAAAAATGAAGCATGCCCTGCCTTCAGGGAACTTACATTCTATCCAGGAAGATAGCATGTGCATAGATAAATAAAAACAGAGTAATAAAAAGTATCATAAATAAAAACAGAGTAATAAAAAGTATCTTCAAGAGCAAAAGAGCCCTAATAACTGGAAGAGGGTAAGGGGGACAGATTGAGGAAGGCCTGAGTAGGAGACGGCAGCGGGGTGGTCCTTCAATGGAAGCTAGGAATTATATGTGTGGTATGTGAGGACACAGCTAGGTGGTACAGTGGATAAAGTGCTAAGCCTGGAGTCAGGAAGGCTCATCTCCCTGAGTTCAAATCTAGCCTCACTTACTAGCTGTGTGACCTGGGGCAAGTCACTTGACCCTATTTGCATCAGTTTCCCCACCTATAAAATGAACTGGAGGAGGAAATGGCAAACCCCACCAGTATCTCTGCCAAGAAAACTCTAGATGGGGTCATGGAGAGTTGGGCACGACTGAACAACAATGTGAGGACAGAGGCATTCTGTCTGAGCATGAGCCATCATACAAAGTCATGAAGGTAGATGGAATGTATGTGGGAAACAGCAATTAGGCCAGTCTGGCTGGAATGGAGAGTGTGTTAATATGAACTAATATGAAATAAGAATGGAAAGGATAGTGGGGACCACCGTGTGGAGGTCTTCTAATGCCAGGCTAAGAATTTTGTATTTTGACCTAGAGGCAATAATAATAACAATGGGTTTGAGCTTTCCAAAGTGTTTTATGAATTTTATCCCATTTGATCCTCACAACAACCCTGGGAAGTAGATGCTATTATTATTCCCATTTTACAGCTGAGGAAGAGAGCTGTTAAGTGACTTATCCAAAGTCACACAGCTACTAAGTGTCTGAAGTGGGATTTGAACTCAGGTCTGCCACAGCTCTAGAGCTCTATCCTCTACACCACCTACCTTCTATTGAAGAATTTTGACTAAGGAGTGACATGGTCAGATCCATGTTTTAGGATTATCACAAAAAGAACATCACAAAAGGAGAAAGAAATGTGAGAAGAGAAAGAGGCATAGAGACAGAGATAGGAAGGCAGGCAGAGACAGAGGACAGAGAAAGTCACTGTAAGAAAAAAAATCAGAACCTTTTCAGGATTCTGCTGACCCTACTAAAGACAGCAATGTGGCTACATTTGGGGAAGCCCCAGGCTTAGCTTTGTCTCTTTGACACACCATTCTTCTGAGGAAAGTTTTGGAAATGGGAATCAGGACGTTGCTGGAAGATAAGCTTGAAAAGCACAGGTTTGTTAACACTATGGAAAGGATTTAGCCAGGAACAGCTATTCCAGGACAGGGAGCATTCCTGTGCATCATGGCAAGAAGAGGTCCCTTATCTAGCAGAGAAGGACCTAAATAGGTACAGGGTGCAGGAATACACATCAACTGGCAGCTCTATTGTTCACTCCCAGATCACATATCCAGGGCTGAGAAGGGAACCTGTACCTGAGGATGCCATTCCAGGGTGGGGCTTGCTGAGCAAGGAGCAAACTCTGAAGCAAGAAGTAGGAAGAAGCTGAAGATGAAGCAGAAGACAAAGCAGAAGACAAAGAAGAAGAAGAAGATGACAAAGAAGATGAAGGAGAAGGAGACGAAGAAGATGGAGAAGACAAAGAAGAAGATGACAAAGAAGAAGAAGAAGACAAAGAATAAGATGATGAAGAAGACAAAGAAGAAGATGAAGAAGACAAAGAAGATGATGAAGAAGATGAAGAACACAAAGAAGATGACGAAGAAGAAGATGAAGACGAAGAAGACAAAGAAGATGACAAAGAAGATGAAGGAGAAGATGAAGAAGACAAAGAAGATGAAGAAGACAAAGAAGAAGATGACGAAGAAGAAGACAAAGAAGAAGACGAAGAAAACAAAGAAGAAGATGATGAAGAAGAAGACAAAGAAGAAGATGAAGAAGACAAAGAAGATGACGAAGAAGACAAAGAAGAAGATGAAGAAGACAAAGAAGAAGATGAAGAAGACAAAGAAGAAGACGAAGAAGACAAAGAAGAAGATGAAGAAGACAAAGAAGAAGATGACGAAGAAGATGAAGAAGACAAGGAAGATGATGAAGAAGAAGATAAAGAAGACAAAGACAAAGAAGATGACAAAGAAGATGAAGAAGAAGATGAAGAAGAAGGAGGAGGAGGAAGAGAAGGACAAACAGAAGCAGAGGATGATGGTGATGATGATGATGATGATGATGATAAAGATGAAAAAGAATTCCACTATAACAAAAGCTATCATGGTAACAGAGATGCTCAACAGAAACCTAGAAAAAAAGAATGACTCCAAAACACGGACAAGTACAACCTCAAAGAAAAACACAATATGCACACAAATTCAACTAGGATTCCTGGAAGAATTACAAAGAAAAGAATTTTAATTTTTTTTTGGAAATGAGAGAGCTAGAGGAAAAAAGTGAAGATGAAATGAGAACTATAAAAGAAAGGATTTTAAAAAGAAATTAATAGCTTGACACAAGAGATACAAAACATTGCCCAAACAACAACTGTCTGAAAATTAGAATGGGCCGATTCGAAATTAATGACTCCACAAAACAACAAGAAATAACAAGTCAAAGACTGGGGAGGCGTGCGGGGGGAATATGGTGTATTTCATAGCAAAAACAACTGACTTGAAAACAGAAGAGATAATTTCATAATGACTGGACTACCTGAAATGCATGATCAAGAAAAAAGAGCCTAGACATCTTATTTCAAGAAATCATAAAAGAAAACTGCCCAGATTTCTTAGAATCCAGAGGCAAAATGGAAATAGAAAGAATCCTTTTACCTCCTGAAAGAAACCTCAAAATGAAAACTCCCAGGAATATTACAGCCAAAATCAGAGTTTCCAGGAAAAAGAAAAATACTGCAGGCAATCAGAAAGAAAAAGTACAAATTCCAAACAGTCAGTATCACACATGTGTCAGCAGCTACCATTATAAAGCAGCAGAAAGCTTGACATATGATATTACAGAAGGCAAAGGATATAGGCTTACAACCAAAAATAACATATCCAGCAAAACTAAGTATAATCCTACAGGGAGGGAAATGGATCTTTGGTGAAATAAAGGACTTTCCTCACATTCCTACTGAAAAGACTAGAACTGCATAGAAACTTTAAAGTGCAAACACAAGAGCCAAGAGCAACATAAAAAGGTAAACGTGACTGAACAATCACAAGGGAACAAACAAGAAAAAAATCTGTTTATTCTGGAGAACAATTTGGAACCGTGCTCAAAGGACTGTAAAACTGTGCATACCCTTTGACCTAGCGATACCACTGCTAGGTCTATATCCCAGAGATCAAAGAAAAAGGGAAAGGACCTATATGTACAAAAAATTATAGCAACTTTCTTTGTGATGGCAAAGAACTGGAAACTTAGAGGATGTTCATCAACTGGAGAATAGCTAAATAAGTTTTGGTATATGCTTCTGTAAAGGAATACTATCGTGCTATAATAATTGATGAACAGAATGGTTTCAGAAAAATCTGGGAAGATTTATATGAACTGACACAAAGTGAAGCGAGCACAACCAGAACAGTAACAGCAATATTGTAATGCTGATCAACTCCAAAAGATCTTGTTTCTCTAATCAATACAATGATCCAAGACGATTCCAAAGGACCTATGATTAAAAATGCTATCCACCTCCAGAGAGAGAACTGATACACTCTGAGTGAAGACAGAAGCATAAATTTTTACTTTCTTTTTCTTGCTTTTATTGCAACATGGCTAATATGGAAATATGTTTTGCACATTTTCACAAGTATAATTGATCTCAAATTATTTGCCTTCTCAATGGGTGAGGGAGAGACTAGAGGAAAGGAGAAGATTCAAAACTCTAAATTTTTAAAAAATGAATGTTAAAAATAAATAAAATTTTTAGAAAGAATAAACTGCTTACCTTCTAATACGGGGAGGTAATACTTGTGTCCCCTCTGAACTCTATAATCATCAGTGTCTCATGGAGGCAGTCTAAATAAACAGGAAGCATAAGAGTAGTTCTGTTATGTCTTAATGATCTTAAAAATCTTAAAAAGAAGAATGTAAAGGGAGGGGGGAAGGAATATACTAAGGAGGAAAGATGGGGAAATTGTCACATATGATAGAGATATGCAAGTAGAAGTCAATACAAACAAGGAGGAAGGAATAAGAAAAATGGATAACATTTGAACCTAAGTCTAATTTGGCATGATCACAGGAGGGAAGATTATACACACATAGTTGGGTGCAGAAATATGTTTCACTAAACAGGGAAACAAGAAGGAAAGAAGAAAAGGAAAAGGAGAAAATGAGAGTGAGGATAAGTTAAGGAAAGGATTAGTTAGGAAGCAAAACAAACTCTAAGGATGTACAATAATACTTACAGCAGCTCTTCTTGCTGTGGCAAATAATTGGAAACTGAGGTGCTATCTATCCATTGGGGAATGGCTGAAAAAGTTATGTTATATAAAGGTGATGGAATACTACTGGGCTGTAAGAAATGATGGAGAGGATTTCAGAGAAATATGGGAAGACTTGCATGAACTGATACAAAATGAAGTGAGCAGAGCCAGGACAATTTATATAATGACAATAATATTTTTATGGACTATTTTTTTCTTTTTTTCTTAAATAATTTATTTATTTTTCATTTTAATTTTTCATTTCCACAAGATTCTGAGTTTTAAATTTTCTCCCTATCCCTCCTCCCCAAGACGGTGTGTAATCTGATATAGGCTCTACTTAGACGTTCATATTAAGCATATTTTCACATCAGTCATGATGTACAGAAGAATTAGAATTAATGGGAGGAACCATGAGAAAGAAGAAATAAAACAAAAGAACAAAAAAAAGGAGAGCAAATAGCATGCTTCCATCTGCATTCAGACTCCACAGTTCTTTCTCTGGGTGTGGATAGCATTTTTCATCATGAGTGTTAGATCCTTGCATTGCTGAGAAGAGCTAAGTCTATCAAAGTTAGTCATCGCACAAGGTGGCTGTTACTGTGGACAAGGTTCTCCTGGTTCTTCTCACTTCACTCAGCATCAGTCCATACAAGTCTTTCTAGTTTTTTATGAAGTCTGCCTGCTCATCATTTCTTATCGCACAATAGTATTCCATCACATTCATATACCACAACTTGTTCAGCCATTCCCCAATTGATGGGCATCCCCTCAATATCCAATTTTTTGCCATCACACAAAGGGCTGCCATAAATATTTTTGTACATGTGGGTTCTTTTCCCATTTTTATGATCTCTTTGGGATACAGCCCTAGAAGTGGTATTGCTGGGTCAAAGGGTATGCACATTTTTATAGCCCTTTGGCCATAGTTCCAAATTGCTCTCCAGAATGGCTGGATCATTTCACAACTCCACCAACAATGCATTAGTGTTCCAATTTTCCCACATCTTCTCCAACATTTATCATTTTCCTGCTTCGTCATGTTAGCCAATCTGATAGGTGTGATGTGGTACCTCAGAGCCATTTTGATTTGCATTTCTCTATTTTTTCATACGACTATAGATAGCTTTAATTTCTTCCTCTGAAAACTGCCCATTCATATCCTTTGACCATTGTTTGGTCAGAAATTCTCCCCTTCTCCATAGATCTGATAGGTAAACTATTCCTTGCTCTCCCAGTTTGCTTATAGTATCAGCCTTTATATCTAAATCATGTACCCATTTTGACTTTATCTTGGTGTAGTGTGTAAGATGTTGGTCTATGCCTAATTTGTGCCATACTATTTTCCAGTTTTCCCAGTAATTTTTGTTAAATAGTGAGTTCTTATCCCAGAAGCTGGAGTCCTTGGATTTATCAAACAGTAGATTACTATAATCATTGACTGTTGTGACTATGACAATAATATTGTAAAAGCAAAAAACTTTGAAAGACTTAGGAACTCTGATAATGGTAATGAACAACCACAGTTCCAGAGGACTCTTAATGGAACATGCCACCTATCTCTCAATAGACAGGTGAAGGATTCAGGGTACAGAATAAGACTATTTTTTTTAAACATGGCCAATGCAGGAATTTTGTTTTTGCTTGTCTTTACAGGGATTTTGTCAATGCAGGGATTTTGTTTTTCTTTCCTTCTCAATAAAAAAAAATAGCTATGCAACACATTTTTAAAATATTTAAAAATAAAGGAAGAAAGCACTGTACTAAATTTTGAATGAGACAAATATAGTCATAATACCTAATCCAGGGAAGTATAAGACAAAAGGAAGAAAACATCATTAATGAAAACTGATTTAACATTTTAAATAAAATCCCAGCAAAATGACTCCAGTAATTCATCCAAAAAAATTCATTCACTATGATCATGTTGGATTTATACCAGGGATGCAAGAATGGTTCAACATTTAAAAAGCAATTAACGTAATTAACCATATTAAAAATAAAAAACCTTCAAAATGATATTATAATTATAACAATTGATATAGAAAAAGTCTTTGACGAAGTACAATATTCATTTATGTTTTTTTAAATCCTATAAAATGTAGGCATAGGCATCTTTTTAAAAATGTATTTTAAAGTATTCATTTAAAACAAAAAGCTAGCACTATATACAATGGGGAAACACTAAAAACTTTCCAAGTAAATACAGTAGTAATGCAAGAAGCCCTTTCCCCTTCCTTTTATTTGATGTGATTTTAGAAATGCTAGGAGTAGCGGTGAGACAAGAGAAAGGCATTAAAGGCATGAAAGACAGGCAAAGAGGAGACAAGTATCTCTATTTGCTAATGACATGATGGCTTACTTAGAAAATCCTAGGGAATCAGCAAAGAAACTAATGAAGATAATTGATCACTTCAGTAGAGTTGCATGCTACAAAAATAAACCCACAAAAAATCCAAAGTATTCCTTTATGACATTAACCTATACATAGTTCTAGAAATAATCATAGAAAGGGACATCTCATTAAAAAAATAATCACAAAACACCTAAAATGTCTTAGAGTAAATCTAACAAAAGCATACTCATTATAGATATAATTTTTAAAACACTTTTATTTAGTGCTCATGGCTGCCCCATGCTAATATGATTAAAATGATAATAACACTGAAATTAAGTTACAGATTTAGTGCTATACTAATCAAACTGCCAAAAGGATACTTTATAAAGGAATTAAAAAGTAGTAAAATTCATTTGGAGAAATAAAATACATAGAATATCAAGGGAAATAATGAAAACTGGTAGGAATGAAGGCAATAATAGAACTTTCATACCTCAGATCCTATTAGAAAAGCAATAATCATCTCAACCATTTGTACTTGGTTTTTTTTTTAAATAGAGCAATGAAATAGAGTAGGGAAATAGAAATGAGAAATAATTTAAATTAATAACCCAGTGTTTAATAAACCTAACAACATAAATTACCTAGGAAAGAATTATATATTTGACAAGAATTACTGGGAAAACTGGTAAGCAGTCTAAGTCTAGCAAAAAGTCGGTCTTGATCTGTGGTTTCAAATTCAAATAGAAACAGAACCCACTAAACCATACATGAGGATCCCAGTGAGTTACATATTGACTTGTTTTAAAACGCAATGTACTTGTGTTTTTAAAATTTTATTAAATATTTCCCAATTACATTTTAATTTAGTTCAGGCAGCACTCAGGAGTGTTGTGGGCTACATGGGGCCATGTGTTTAACATCTCTGGTCTAGACTAATATTTTACCCCACATGCCACAATAAATTCAAAATGGATAATTGACCATACCATAAAAAGATTGTAATATAATCAAAAATTAGAAGAGAGGCAAATAATATACATTTGATGGTTTTGACTAGGAGGTGAATTCTTAACCAAATAAGGAAGAGCAATAATTACAAAAAGGAAAATAAATAATTTTGATTGCATGACATTTAAAGCTTGTGCATAAACAAAATTAATGCAACTAGTATAAGAAGAGAAGCAATCAAATGGGGAAAATATTTGTATCAAACATTTCTCTCAATGGTCTGGTTTAAAATACATATAGACAATTAATGGAAGTATATAATTCCTCAAGTATTCTTGTACAAAATAACTAATATGGAAAGTTTTACATGATTGTACATGTATAACCTATATCATATTGATTACTGTCTCAGGAAGGGGAGAAGGAAAGGAGAGAGAGGGAGGAATAGAATTTGAAACTCAAAACTTTAAAAAAAAGTTTAAAAATTGTTTCATCATGTAATTGGGGGAAAATAAAATATTATGAAAAATAAAAATAAAGTCTATGAGCCCAAAAGTCATTTCTGGATAAATAAGCATGACTATGAGCAACTTGGTCTCAAAAGAATAACTGTATATCATTAACAGCTCCATAAGAAAGAATGCTTCAGGGGCAGCTAGGAAGCAGAGTGGATAGAGCATTGGCCCTGGAGTCAGGAGGACCTGAGTTCAAATCTGGTCTCAGACCAGACACTTGACACTTACTAGCTGTGGGACCCTGGGCAGGTCTCTTAACCCCAATTGCCTCACCAAAAAAAAAAAAAAAAAAAAAAAAAAAAAAAAAAAAAAAAAAAAAAAAGAATGCTTCAAATAACTAATAAATAAAATCATAAATAAAAATAATACTGAGGTTTTACCTCATATCCAGCAAATTGGCAAAGATGGGAATAGTGTTGGAGGAACTATGGAAAGTTAGGCACACTGATGTGTTGTAAGGGGAGCTGTACATTGTTCCAATCATTGTGGAAAATTATTTTAAATTATGCAGAAAGAGTAACTAAAATGTCTGTATCCTTTAACCCAGATATTCCACTGCTAGGTATATACCCCAAGGAGGTCAATGACAAAAATAAAGGCCCCATATGCTCCATAAAAAATTTATAGCAACATTTTTTTCTCATAGCAAAAAACTGAAAACGAAATAGATGTCTATCAGCTGGGAAGTAGGTAATTCAATTATAGTACGTAAGTATAATGGAATTTTACTGTGCTATATGAAATGTTGCATATGTAAATAATGAGAAGCTGCATGGACTTCCCCAGCCCATTGAAAGGATCCAAGAAAATACTCTAGCTCTGATACTTTAACCTAGTGAAAGTACTTCCATTGACTCAATCATCAAAGGCACTGTACTGAGTTTGAAGGAGGTTAATTGATTGGAAAGAGGAAGGGCCTTTGAGTGAAATGAGTCATCCCGCCCAGGAGACTACTAACATTATGTTGCTGGATGAGACTAGAGGGAGAAATGCCATGAAATCACCAGAAGATATCGATGGCCCTTCACTGTCAGAGGTGAAGATTTCTCTCCATATGTGTTTTCTGGCTACACATGTTCCCTGAGTGTGTGTTGTGCTATGTAAGTTTTTTATATGTGCCCACTGATGAAATGTGTATTTGTAGGAGTGTATATCCCCAGAGTAATGGAGGAAATATTTCAGAGCTACTTTTCTCACTTTCCCATTCCATTAAATGCTTTTGTTTTAAACTAATTGCATTCTCTAGCTGACTAATAAAAGTAAATACTTCCACTGGGGATTGTGAACTATGATTTTTGGTGGATAGAGATCCACAGAACTTTGAACCTGGGGTAGCCTTGTTTGGGGAGCTACTCTTAAACTTTGGAGTGGGGTGATGGTTCAAGTATTATAGCAGCAGTTCTCAAAGTCTGGTCTGTGGATCCACAGGGTCTCCAAGATTCTTCCAGGGGATTTTTAGGTCAAAACCATTTTCATAATAATACCAAGACATTGTTTGCCTATTAAAATACATTTCCTTTTTCTAACTATATATCTGTGGAAGGTCAAATTTTCTTCATATGCTTCGATATCAGAACAGATTTGAATGCTGAAGTAAATATAAGAATCCATGTCTTCTATTAAGCTAGCCACTAAAGAGATTCATAAAAATATGTGAAACAATGCCATTCTCACTATTTTTTAAATTTGAAAAATATAGTTATTTTTCATAAAAATATGTCATCTTACTAGGTAATGATTTTAATAGTGTTATTTTAATGAATTTATAAATATTTTTAAAGTTTTTCTTTTAATTTCTAATAGGATAAATATTGAAAAATATAACCAAGGTTGTGCTAACTTAATTATACAATATAAAATATATCTAAGGGTGAGCTAATTTAGTTGTTAAATTTTCAATGTGAATCAAAATCTATTTTCAGAAATCCAAAAACACATCAAATCAAGGCTTGGTTTACTGTTTTGTTGATGAAGAAAGTCAAGGAGAATACGTTAAAATTACAGATTAAATTTTAAAGCATGTCATGCTTTCAGGGAGTCAGTTGTTAAACATTTACCAGCACACTCCTGGATAGAACCTGCATAAACAAAAGCTCTTTGGGGTCCTCAATAATTTTTAAGAGCGAGGCAGCTAGGTGGAACGGTGGATAGAGCACCAGTCCAGGAGTCAGAAGGAGCTGAGTTCAGAACCAACCTCAGACACTTGACACTTAGTAGCTGTGTGACCCTGGGCAAGTCACTTAACCCTGTTTGCCTCAGTTTCCTCCTCTGTCAAATGAGCTGAAGAAGGAAATGGCAAACTACCCCAGTATCTTTGCCAAGAAACCCCAAAATGGGGTCACAAAGAGTCAAACATGACTGAAATGACTCAACAATAAAGTTCCCTTCCCACTCTAAATCTTGAAAAAGGAGGGCAACAGAAACATAGAATGAGAAGCTGTTGAGATTAGAAATGAGTGTGTTCAACAGAGTGCTGGTAAATGTCAGAACTCACATCAAAGAAGAGAAGAAACTCACCAAATTCTACCAGAGTGAAGAATGTAGAAGAATAACTGGGTGCTAGGGGTTATCTATTTGCAGTCAACAGTTATACATTCTACATATGGGAGGTGAATGGTTAGCTCAGCTTCTCGTCCACCGCCATGAAGAATTCCAGTTGTTGCAAAGCCTCTGGAAGCCAAAACCATTAGCATGGCCAGCCTCCTTCTGGCTTCAAGGTATCTTTGCACCAAGGGCAGCTGATGAAAGAAAAGAAGGAAAAAAATCAGCCACAATGTACAACAGTTATACAGTAGTTTCCTCACAGCTACCACTAGAAAAAAAAATAGGGTTTCTATACATGTACGTTTTAAAGAGTAAACACAAAAATGTTCCACTCAATTTAAAAATTAAGAACAATGAGCATAAATCATATTAAGTAAATAAAACAGTAAAAATGTATGCATATACAAAAACACATAGTGTACACATTAGAGAACCAGGCTCAAAGTCAGAAGGAGCTGGATCTGGGTTCAAGTCTTACTTAGGACATGTACAGGTTTTGTGACCCTGGGTAAGTCACTTAACCTCTCAATGCCCCCAGGTGTCTTTCTAAGACAATAAATTGCAAAGAAGGTGCCAATCTGCATTGATAGAGGGAGTTCCCTCATCTGGGAGTTCCCTATGCCAATAAAATCACTATCCTATCCCTCATACAAATGCACACACACATGTACATATACATACATACATACATATCACTTCTATATTCTAATTCATTATTAAGAAGAAACGGAAAGGCAGGAGGGAGAGGGAGAGAGAAAGTAGACAGGGGAAGGAAGAGAAAGACAGAAAGAGGGGTCAGAGAGAGAAGAGAGGGAATGAGAGAGAAAGAGACATAGAAAACAGGAGAGATAGGGAAGGAGGGAGGGGGAAGAGAGAGAGAGGAGGGAAGAAAGGGGAGAGGGAGAGAGAGAGAGAGAGAGAGAGAGAGAGAGAGAGAGAGAGAGAGAGAACAAAGGACAGAAAAACCAGAGAGATGGACACACCAGGGTGGCACATGTGTCTGGTCACAAGAAAAACAAATAGAAAGAGACAGATTTTTTTTTTTTAGAGAAAAATAGATAAAGATGAGAAATAAAGACAGCAAGCACAAACCTCACTTTTGTTCACGTCCTTAATGTCAAAGACTGAAAACATGTGTAAATACTGCCAGAATTTGTCATTGAAATTCCCACCTGATGTTGGAAAGCCCAGGTAGACCTGGATTAAGCATCAGACCATCAGTGGAGGATTCTGGGAAGATGGCGGAGTAGGTCCGAAAATTTCAGCTTCTGGAAACTTCATCTACAAACAAGACAGAACATCCAGGTGAATGTAGAGCAGAGGAAATAAATAAAAGTTGGGGTAAAGCATGTGTCCTTCTAAGACTTCTAGAGAGGCCTGGGAAAAGAGTGGATCCCCAGGGGCTGATGAAGTGCTAATACCTCTTGGTTCTCCACTTGGCCTAATTAACAAACAAGCCCTAGGGTCAACTGGGTTGGGGAAGGGGAGAGGAGAGAGCTTAATAGGGGAAGATTGAAGGACCCTTCACTGTCACTGGATGCTAGGCCTAGCTGTCCTACCCCAGGCCTAGTTGTCCTTACCAGACTGGTGAGTCCTGGCTACAGGTGTGGGCGAGGAGGAGGGAACTCACGAGGGTTGGGACCCTGTGGACTGTGGCCACTCAAAGGAGAGGAGTCCCTGGTTTTGGTTCCAGGGCAGAGGAGAGTTGAAGTTTGCAGAGGGAAGGACAGCAGGGAGGAAGAGAGTTTGCAGGACAGCATGGCTGGGGGCCTACCCGTGATTTTAGGGGTGAAGAGGAGAGCCCAAGGTCAGGCCCAGACAGACCTCAGAAAATAACAGTAAGAAGGACTTGAGGCCTGGGGCATCATTCCCCACACCTCAGCACTAGAACCTGATTACAATAATAAGCTGCTAAAAATAAACTAAAACAAAATAAAAATTCAAAATTAGTGTGAGCAAGCAAAGGAATAAAAATCTGACCATAGACAGCTATTATGGGGATAGAGAAGATCTGGGTTCATATTCAGAGAAAGCTAGTGAAGTTAAAAAAGTCACTCCTACTTCAAAGAGAAATGTCAAATGGTCATAAGCCCAAAAAGAGTTCTGGGAAGAACTTAAAAAAGACTTCAAAAATCAAATAAGAGAGATCAAGGAAAAATTAAGGGGGGAAAAATAAGAACAATCCAAGAAAACTATGAAAAGAAAGTTAACCTATTAGAAAAAGAAATCCAAAAACTTAAGGAAGAAAATAATTCCTTAAAAACTAGAATTGGGCAAGGGAAAACTAACGATGTTATGAGACACCAAGAAATATTTTTTTAAAAAGCGAAAAAATAGAAGAGAATGTGAAACATCTCATTAGAAAAACAACTGATCTGGAGAATGGATCATGGACAGATAGTAAATACTGCAGAGTTACAATCAGGATCACATAAGACATAGCTAGCAGCTTCTATATTTCAAGACTGTAGGTCTGGGAATGTTATATTTTGAAGAGCAAAAGAGCTGGGTGTACAACCAAAAAATACATTACCCAGCAAAGTTGAGTACAATCCTGAACAAAAATTAAAAAAAGGATATTTAACAAACTGAAAGACTTTCAGGTATTTATGACAAAGAACTCAGTGGAAAATTCAACATATAAGAACCACAAGAAATATAAGGTAAACATTAAAGATCAGTTATAAGGGACTCAATAAGGTCAAACTGTTTACTTCTTTTATGTGAAAATGTTATTAGTACTCTTAAGACCACCATCATTGGGACAGCTAGGTGGCGCAATGGATAGAACACTGGCCCTGGAGTCAAGAGGACCTGAGTTCAAATTCGGCCTCAGACACATAACACTTACTAGCTGTGTGACCATGGGAAAGTCACTTAACCCTATTGCCTAGCCCAAAAAATAAAAAAAATAAAAAAGACCACCATCATTACTTGGGTAGTAATGAAAGGCTTGGTGTGAGCTGAGTATAATGGGGTTATTCTAAAAAAAAAAACCGGGTAGGGAGAGGTAAAAAGGAGTATCTTATACAAAAGAGGCGTGAAAGGAAGAACTGGTACAGAAGAACCAGGTAGGGGTTGAGGGCTGATAGCGCTGGAATCTTATTCTAATCACAACTGGGTTAAAGAGGGAACAACATATACATCTAGAAGGGTATAAAAGTCTTCTAAATTTATAAAGAAATAAGAGGAAAAGGGGACAGAATAAGAGAGGGACTTTTAGAAGGGTGTGTAGATTAAGAATTAGGAGAGTGGGGGGGAGAAGATAAGGGAGGCATTCTAACAGATAGCAGAATGGATTAAAAATTAGGATCTGACAACATGTTGTTCACAAGAAACACATTTCAAAATGATAGATACACAGTTAAAATAAAGGGCTGGAGTAGAATTTATTGTGCAAAAAAAAAAGCAGAAGTAGCAATCATGATCTCAGATGAAATTAAAGCTAAAATAGATTTAATTAAAAGAGATTAACAAGTAAACTACATTATGATAAAAGGTACCATAAACAATGAAACAATATCACTACTGAACCTACCTGTACCAAATACTATAGCATCCAAATTATTTAAGCAAAAGTTAAATGAATTACAGGTGGGGGTAAATAATAGTGCTATAACAATTTAATCTTCCCCTCTCAGAATTAGATAAATCTAACAAAAAGAAATAATAAGTCAAGGAAGTGAATAGAATTTTAGATAAGCTATATATGATAGATATATAGAGAGAATTGAATGCGAATAGAAAGGAATACACCTTTTTCTCAGCACTGCATGTTACATTTACAAAAACTGACCATACATTAGGGCATAAAATTTTATAGTTAAAAGCAGAAATATTAAATGCATCCTTTTCAGATCACAATGCTGCAAAAAATACATTTAATAAGGGACCACAGAAACAGAATAAAAACTAATTGGAGGCTAAACAACCTAATTTTAAAGAATGAGTGGGTTAAAGAACAAATCAAAGAAACAATTATTTCATTAAAGAGAATGACAATAATAGAAAATACATCAAAACCTATGGGATACAGCAAAAGCGGCAATCAGATGAAAATTTATATCTCTAAATCTAAATTATATCAATGAAATAGAGAAAGAGCAGGCCAATGAATTGGGTATGCAATTAAAAAAAGAACAAACTAAAAATCTCCAATTAAGCACTAAATTGGAAATCCTAAAAATTAAAGGTGAAATTAATGAAATTGAGTGTTGGAAAGTCACTGAATTAACAAATAAAACTAGGAGTTAGTATTAACTAAACATTAAAAGAAACAATAAGATAAATAAACCATTGGTTGAGATGGTTATAAAAAAGAAAGAAGAAAACCAAATCACTAGTACTAAAAATGAAAAGTATGAATATATCACTAACAAAGATGAAGTTATCTTGCCCAATTATATGCCAATAAACTTAACAATTTAAGTGAAATGAAAGAATATTTACAAAAATACAAATTGCCTAGATTAGCAGAAGAGGAAATAGAACATCTAAATAAACCTACTTTAGAAAAAAGAAATTGAACAGGCCTTAAATGAGCTTCCTAAGAAAAAAGCACCAGTGCCAGATGGATTTACAAGTGACTTCTATCAAACATTTAAAGACCAACTAATTTCAATATTAAATAAATTATTTGGAATAATAGGAAAAGAAGGGGTCCTATCACATTCCTTTTATGAAAGAAATATGATATTGATACCTAAACCAGGAAGAGTAAAAACAGAGAAAGAAAATTATAGACCAGTTTCACTAATGAATATGGATGCAAAAATCCTAAATAAAATACTAGCCAGGAGACTATAATAATATATCACAAATATTATACATGGTGACCAAGTGGGATTAATGCCAGGAATTCAGAGATGGTTTAACACAGGGAAAACTATTAATATAATTGACTACATCAATAATAAAAGTAACAAAAATAATATGATTATATCAGTGGATGCAGAAAAGGCTTTTGATAAATTATAACACTTATTACTGTTTTAAAAAAAACACTCAAAAATATTGGTATAAATGGATTTTTCCTTAAATTCACAAGAAGCATTTATCTAAAACCATCAGCAAGCATTATTTGTAATGGGGATGTGCTAGAAACCTTCCCACTAAGATTATAGATGAAACAAGGAGACCCATTGTCACCAATATTATTCAGTATTGTATTGGAAATCCCTGCAATAATTAAAAGAAGAAAAAGAAATAGAAGGAATCACAATGGGCAATGAGGTAATAAAACTGTCTCTTTTTGCAGATGACACATATTTGGAAAATCATAAAGACTCTAACAATTAATAATTTTAGCAAAGTAGCAAAATATAAAGTAAACCCACATAAAATCATTAGCATTCCTATATATCACCAACAAAACCATGCAAGAAGTGATAGCAAGAGATACCCCATTTAAAATAATTGTAGACAGTATAAAATACCTATGAGTACACCTGCCAAAACAAACCCAGAAATTATATGAACAAAATTATTTTTAAAAAATTTTTATACAAATGGAATCAGGTTTAAATAGTTGGAGAAATATTAATTGTTCATGGGTAGGTAAGGTCAGTATAATAAAATGACAATTTTACCTAAATTAATCTATTTATTCAATGCCATCCAAATTAAATTACCCAAAAATTATTTTACTGAGTTAGAAAAAAATAATAACAAAATTTATTTGGAAGAATTAAAGTCAAGAATATCAAAGGAACTGATAAAAAATATAAAGGAAGGAGGTTTAGCAGTACCAGATCTTAAACTATATTATAAGGCCATAATTATCAAAAAACTATCTAGTACCAGCTAAGAAATAGAAAGGTAGATCAGTGGAAGAGAGTAGACATATAATATACAACAGCAAATGACTCTAGTAACCTTGTGTTTGACAAGTGTAAAGACTTAAGTTTTGGTGATAAGAATTCATCATTTGGTAAAAATTGTTGGGAAAGTTGGAACACAATCTGGCAGAAATTTGACACAGACCAGTATGTTACACCACTTACCAACATAAAGTCAAAAGGGATACGTGACCTAGATATAAAGGGAGATATTACAAGAAAATGAGAAAAACATGGAACGTATTGCCTATCGGACTCATGGATAGGTGAACAATTTATGAATAAACAAGAGAAAGAGAAGAATAACAGTAGTAATTTTGATTAATTAAATTAAAAGTTTTTGTACAAATAAAACTAATGCAGCCAAGATCAAAAGGAAACAGAAAATAAGGAAAAAATTTATAGACAGTTTTTCAGATAAAGGTCTCATATTTCAAATATATA